GTGAGGTACATGCGTGCCCGCATGACAGCATATCCTCACCCTCTGCCAGGAATGCCTTCTTGGTAAACTGTTTCCCAGTGCCCAGGTCAAGCTTTCTTTCTCTGTGATGCTTCTGCTGATCACCCACTGCTCTGTGCACTTAGGGTAGCTTCTTTCTACCCATCACAATACTGCTCACACGGTGAAAATCATTAGTTTGCATGTTTCCATTTCAACTAAATTATGCTCTTCCCTATAAAGACGTGACCTTGTTGTATTATAGTCTCAGTGCCTTGCACACAGTAAGTATGTTTGCTAAGCAAATGAATTAATGGTTAAATGAGTGCAGCATGTTAACTTAAAAACCATAACCTTAAGGGATGGATAAGTGGATAAATATGTGTAAAGCAAATTCAATGAAATGTTAATGACATGAGTGTCCATGGTGAAATTCTTTTCATTTTGCTGCATGTTTGAAACTTTTTAATTATTTCCATAATAAAATGTTAGGTGGAAGAGGTGTTACCAAAACCTTGGTAGTTAAAAAAATCCTCACGATTCTATTTGTGACATATTTCACTCATAGATACTCAACTGAAAGACTCTATTTCAGATCCCAAGCAGTCTCTCTGGATTGTAACGTCTTGGGGCTCAGCTGAGCTGGTGTTTCAGTCGCCCTGAACCATGAGTCACAGGAACCTGACTGTACTGGGGAAAGGAGAATCCTCTTCTATTTTCTTTCCTTCTTTCTTTCTTTTTTTGTTCTTTCTTTCTCTCTCTCTCTCTTTCTTTCTTATTTGACAGGTAGAGTTACAGACAGTGAGAGAGAGAGAGAGAGAGAGAGAGAGAAAGAGAGAGAAAGGTCTTCTTCCCATTGGTTTACCCCTCAAATGGCCGCTGCGGCCGGCGCTGCGCTGATCCGAAGCCAGGAGCCAGGTGCCTCCTCTTGGTCTCCCATGTGGGTACAGGGCCCAAGCACTTGGGCCACTCTTGCATTATTTTCATGCAAGGGCTTCATCTCTTTTGTAATCCATGTTATCTGATTATTAAATATCTATATGTTTGGGACTGGCACTACGGCATAATGGGTAAAGCCTCCACAGTGGCATCCTATATGGGTACTGGTTCAAGTCCTGGCTGCTCCACTTCTGATCCAACTCCCTGCTAATGTGCCTGGAAAAGAAGTGGAAGATGGTCCAAGTATGTGGGCCCCTGCACTCACGTGGGAGACCCAGATGAAGCTCCTGTCTCCTGGTTTTGGATCAGCCCAGCTCTGGCCACTGCAGCCATTTTGGGAATGAACCAGGGATGGAAGATCTCTCTCTCTCTCTCTCTCTGTCTCTGTTTCTGTCTCTCTCTCTGCCTTTCAAATAAATAAATGAAATCTATGTGGTGGAGGACACTTAGGATTAACCTCAAATGTTTTATCCACTTTACCAGGGTACAAACTGGGCTCTTCCAATGCCATGCTCCAGTACAGATCACTTAGTCCGTGAAGTCTGCCTTGTTCAAAACTAGTGAAATCATCAGTCCATCATTTGAGTCCTTTAGCCCTTGCATAAACAGCTCCACATAAACACATTCCATCTTCCACTTTCAAATTAAAAATAATTGTTTTTAATTCTTACGTAAGTGTTTTCTTTGAAAGCCTATGAACTTATTAATGTATCTTAATTTTCCATAAGGAAAAGCAGAGGTTGGCCACAGGAAGAACTCAATAATTAGCTGCCAATTAAATTAACAAGTAACTTCAGGCATTTAAATCAAGTTTATATATGCCACTAGGAAGTTAAGGAGAACATTAAATAGGACAGACATGTTGTTTGTACTTCAAATCTAATTTTGAAGGAGGGTGATTCTCTTCCTTTTCAATGAGTCAACTGCTTTAGGTAATAACAATTCTAACATTAGTCATATTCTGCAGAATTAATAATTTCCTAAAAGTTTCCTTCTTTACTGAGAAGTCTAAAAATATTGCCTTAACTTCTAACTTCAGATTAATATTAACAAATGATTTAGCCCGGCAGATGAAATGACCATGAGATATTTCTACAAATAATCCAAAATCTTCAGATTAACAACTATCAATTTTAAAATAATTTTTAAGGCAGAAATAAGCACAGTTGCAAATGATGGTCTGCCCACTTTGAAAATAATATTGCATCTTTAGCTACAAAGTTTATGTACAGTAATTATTCGCTATAGAGATGCTTTTGAAGAAATTATTGAAACTATGTAAAATGACATTCTGAACTTAACTTCAATATATAAATTGTTGTGGGCATGTTAAAAGTCAATTCTTTCAGGAATGATTAAAGACTTAATTTATTTAATGAGGCTGACACACATACCAGAGGATCTCTACTTCACAACCAGAAGCTCTGTTTTCATCTCAAAATACCCCAGTTTAAAGACTGAATTAAGAAAAGCATGTCTCTGGCCGGCACTGCGGCTCACTAGGCTAATCCTCCGCTTTTGGCGCCGGCACTCTGGGGGTTCTAGTCCTGGTTGGGGCGCTGGATTCTGTCTTGGTTGCTCCTCTTCCAGTCCAGCTCTCTGCTGTGGCCCGTGAAGGCAGCAGAGGATGGCCCAAGTGCTTGGGCCCTGCACCTGCTTGGGAGACCAGGAGGAGGTACCTGGCTCCTGGCTTCGGATTGGCGCAGCACACTGGCCTTAGCAGCCATTTGGAGGGTGAACCAACGGAAAAGGAAGACCTTTCTCTCTGTCTCTCTCACTGTCTAACTCTGCCTGTCCAAAAAAAAAAGAATAGCATGTCTCTGCTATGGCCTGGGAAAGCAGTGGAAAATGGCCCAAGTCCTTGGGCCCCTGTACCTGTGTAGGAGACCTGAAAGAGGCTCCTGGCTCCTGGCTTCGGATCGCAGCAGCTCCAGCCATCACAACCAATTGGGGAGTGAACCAGTGGATGGAAGACCTCCCCCGTCCCCCCCGCCCCGTGTAACTATGACTTTCAAATAAATAAATAAATCTTTTTTTTTTTTTTTTTTTTGACAGGCAGAGTGGACAGTGAGAGAGAGACAGAGAGAGAAAGGTCTTCCTTTGCCGTTGGTTCACCCTCCAATGGTCGCCGCTGCAGCCGGCGCACCGCGCTGATCCGATGGCAGGAGCCAGGATCCAGGTGCTTTTCCTGGTCTCCCATGGGGTGCAGGGCCCAAGCACCTGGGCCATCCTCCACTGCACTCCCTGGCCATAGCAGAGAGCTGGCCTGGAAGAGGGGCAACCGGGACAGAATCTGGCGCCCCAACCGGGACTAGAACCCGGTGTGCCGGCGCCGCAAGGTGGAGGATTAGCCTATTGAGCCACGGCGCCGGCAAATAAATAAATAAATCTTAAAAAAGAAAGAATAGCATGTAAATGTAGTTGAAACTGACACGCCCATGGGCTCTGCCAAGTCTGAGTTCAAATATTGACTCTATTATTTCCTAATAGTTTTGTAATTTAGGCAGGTCACTATCCATATCTGTGCTTCAATAATTCCAACTCTCAAAAGACCATTTTTAGGATTATATAACACACACATGCACACAAATATATACAGAGAAATGAATTATTTATGTACGTGAGAGCAATAAGGCAGTATACCTAATGGGTCTAATGTAGCATCCGACATGGATTATTTTAATATAACCACTCTATAGCCTCTTTCCCATTTCTACCTTTTGTTCCAGCTCTGAAAGAAAAACAGACTGCCAAACCGATGTTGCTAATAATTTATAATGGCTAAAAGGTACTTGTTACAGTCTTATGGAACAGAGATATTTTTAGTTAGATCACTAAGATCTAAAAATTTGTTTGCATTTAGTTCATTTAAAAGACATGTCTTTTCTAAAAAAAAAAAAAAATTCCTGTTTGTCATGGATTTTGAGCCCTTTTTAAGAGAGGGAAAGCTGGATTTTCAGAGAGTCCCTTACCAAAGAGGCAAAACAAAAGTGGATGGCGTCAGACCCTTTGAATTAATGCAGGAAAAGCTGTGCTTCTTTGGAAGAGGAAAGTACACGGACTGTGCTGAGGCTCAGCTACAGCGAGCAGGCCACGTGCACAGACGCGATGTCTCCGCACTAACCTAGGAGATGCTCACCACCGCCCCTAAACAAAACTCCCAAGGAAACATTTAAAAATAGCAAATATAATTCAAACACCCTTCATACTGGATAGATCTGATGAAGATGGAAAGAAAAGCTTTTTGAATTGGTTTATGAGTACATAATTTTCATATGAAAATATTAACAAATTATTTGATTATTATATTCATTTTTTTAAAAGCAGGGCCTTAAAATTGGATTTCTTACATAACTTAAATTCATGGCTTCAGATATACCTCATGTGCATGTATTTCATATAAGAAGGCAGTCTGAACTTGCAGACTGTACCATATTTATCTTTACATTTCTGATAATTTCTTGTACATACTAACATTCAAGGAATTTTGAATGAATGCCTATGGATTATTTTGCTTAAATATGAAAATCTGGATTTTGGCTGGCATCTGCCATTAATAAAGGGATTTCTCATATGTAAGAAAAAGAAAGAAATTTTAAAATGTAAAGACTTTTTCTATAATGAGAAAAATTGCATTTATGACACAGTTTCAAATATGTATTTTCATTATACATATAATAAGCATGAATTTAATTTTCTCAGTGACTGAAATCCATTATCATATAAAAAACAGAAGTTTTCACTTTTAAGAGTGGTTCATTAGAAATCACGTCTAGATTTCTAGTATAAATTAAATACAGAATATTAGGTTAGATGTGACCTTAGAGATTATCCACTTTAATCTCTTATTTTCTAGATAGTAAAGTTACCTCTAGAGATGCTAAGTGACTTTATAAGGTCAGTTAGTCAGAATCATGGAAAATATTATAGATGTGTATAAGCAACTTTCACAAATACTCTATGCAAACTATAGTACAATGGGGGGTTTATGGGACTTTGAAAATGCTGGAACAGTATAGGTGAGTCTGTAAAAGCCACAGTCCCTTTCGCCATGGAAAACTCACCTTCAGTGTTGGAAATGGGGGTACTGTCACATTTGCTTTCACACTGTTGCATCGATGGAGGCCGGGCAGTTTCTGGACAATCGCTAGACGCCTGTCCAGTGTAGGAGAGACACTGCACAGTTCGCATCTGCTGTCCAAGGCCACACTGAGCAGAACACTAAATCCAAAAAACACAGAGAAACATAATGTTGATCTCAATAATTTTCAGGACGTAAGAGATACTATTTCAAATACCACACATACAACTTTTAGAGCTTATATGTGGTTCCTCTTTGAGATGTGTATTATTAGGTTTACCATAGAATGGATTTGGAAAGTCAAGGATATTATTACCATAGAAAATAGAAGCAATATAGTTCCCAGAAGACAGTAGCTGGGGATTTCTTGGACTATCATTCCAATGATTCCAGGGAAGGCTGGTAAACTCTGGCAGGAGTGCAGTAAGAAAAGTCTTGTGATGAAGTAGAATAATCAGAGATCCTAGAGCTAAAGCTTCACTATTGCTCCTGTTTGTTGTGGGTAAGAAGGTAAATAACTTGATGATTTATGGGGGTACATGGTATCTGCCCAAAATATTAGTGCAGTACAACAGCAGATACAGTTGTGGGGCCTCCTTATGGGTTCAATTAAAAAAAAGACAGAGAAAGAGTTTAAGTAACTACTTCAAGCTTTCTTAGGTACTGTCAGCCACATAAACTTGAGAAGTGATCTGATCTTAACCAATTAGCACGTCTCCTCCTCCTTCATCTACTCAAGGTTCCATTACTTCCAGGTTAAAATTACCCTCTGAGTGGCTTAGTTTTAGCTGGGACTAATCAGGTGTTCAGGCTAAAGAAGGGAGCTGGGTCTGTTCTTTGGGCCCAGCACTCATAACACCAGGGAGATTGAAATCTGGGATCAAAGAAATGAGGAGCTAACTGGTGCAAAAACCAGGGCTACCGACATTTAGAATGCAAACACATTGAAGACCTATTGGATTGTTGACAAAAACTTTCAAAGCAGAATGGGCTAAAAGTTTAGCCTAGCAGTTAAAACTCTCCTGTCCCATGTCCTGCACTGGAGTACCTGGGCTCAATTCCTGGCTCCAGCTCCTGACTTCAGCTTCCTGTGAATGCAGACCCTGGTGGGGAGTGGTGACAGCTTAAGTAACTGGGCTCCTGCCACTCGTGTGAGAGACCTGGATAGCGTTCCTGGCTTTCCTGCCTCCTGGCTTTGGCCTTGGCCCAGCCCCACTAGGGCATTTAGGTGCCAACCCGTGGATAGGAGCTCGCTCTTTCTCTCTCCTCTTTCTCTCCCTCCCTCTCTCTCCTCTTCTCTCTCTCTTCTCCTGCTCAGCTTAAAAAAAAAAACAGAAGCAAAACTCTGAAAGCACCCACAGAACTCAGAGATATTCACAGAGATTTTTTTCTTTTCCCACTTTCTAATAGAAAATGATCAATGCATTATCAAAATGTATTAAGGCATATTTCAAATACATTTCTGGGGCCAGCACTGTGGAGCAGCATGTTAAGCCACCATCTGCAGTGCCAGCATCCCATATGAGAGCCAGTTCTAGTCCCAGCTGCTCCACTTTGGATTCCAGCTCCCTGCTAATGCGCCTAGGAAAGCAGTGGAAGATGGGCCTGCACACATGTGGGAGACCCAGAGGAGGCTCCTGGCACCTGGCTTCAGCTTGGCCCAGTCCTGGCCATTGTGATCTTTTGGGGAGGAAACCAGCAGATGGGGAAGATCTCTTTCTCTCTCTCTCTCTGTAACTCTGCCTTTCAAGTAAATAAATAGTTCATTTAAAAAAAAAATAGCCAATTGCAAATTGGCTATCTTTCTTTTGATCTTTATATAATATTGCATTTCAACAAAGAATATATAAGGAAGCAAATACCTACGTGGCTTAAAATAAAAATTATTAAAACATGTCAATACATATTCTTTAATATAGTATTAATTATAATTGTGAAACTATTTAGTATAGAAATAATTATTATTGTGAAACTACAGTCACATTCTACATTTTGACACTTATTGCATGCAATGTTTAACCTTATCAGGTGGATTCCATATGAGCATTTTGTAAACTAAACCAATTATTGCTATAGAGCTACAAAGTATTAATTATTTTATGTTCATCTTCTTTTGTCTCCCCAGGGCTGAACATAGAGCCCTGTTTGTTTGCCTAAAGAGGTTTATTGATACTGCTACACTCCAGCAGAATTGCATTTTGGCCAGAATTTTGGTAGCTACTTCTAAAATAATAGGTCATGGCAGGTCCAGAGAACAAGCAACATCATACTGGCATAATTATATGCTATTATTATGATTTATTTGGGTCTCTGATATCAGAAAATGACTAGCTACATGGCCAATTAGGAGAATAATGGCATTGATTGCCTAGAAATTTACTTTTGAGGTCATTAATTTTTCAATATAAACTAATGTACTCTTAGAAGGATAATATTTAATTTTTCATCTATGGAAATATGTCATCTTAGGGTTTTGTAAGTTAAAAATAGTTTTTAATTGATGGTAATATGTGACTATCATGTACAACATGACTAAGTCTACCAAGTTAACAATATATTACCTCATATTGTTGTTTTGTGATGAGAATCAATTTGTTTAGTAGAATTTAAAGTGGCCTATAGTAAGACATCACAATTTAAAAGTAGATGAGAAAGTTCAAAGAAAAAAATAGGAATTGAAACATAAAATGGAAATGAACCTAATATAAAAATATATACTAAAAGCTCCATACACACGTGCTTTCCAATTCAATGTTCATCAGAAAAAAATAAGACATTGGATAGTAGGGATTTTTCTCTATTTTCCAAGTGGGAAGACAGTGGTGTCAATTGATTTGTTATTGGGAAAAATCTGGGGCTAGAACCCCAGCTTGTTCAAATCTCTGACCATCTAGACTACTTCTCATGTAAGTTTAACTTTAAATAGGAGGATCCAGAACAGAAGTCAAAGTCTGAAGCCTTTAGGTGTGGGAGAAAACATAACTGTGCATGTGTCCATGTAGTAGCTGCCCCATTTGTGTATTCTCTCACATTCGAGTGTGTGAGAGTTCTTAGATTTCTCCGTGTTAACTGCTACTCCTCTCTCAAGCCCTTCCAGGGAACAAGTCAGGGACCTGAGACTTGTGTCTCAAGACGCTGCCCCTGGACTGCCTTACCTGGCCCCAGTCTCCCGTCACCCATCGAGGAGGAGGGCAGCGCCCCAAACTGCAGCGGATGCGGACAGGAGGCTTGCTCTCCTCCGGACACTGAGCAGCTGGGAAGGTTTTAGAAAGGTCACTGCTCTTGCACAGAACAATCCGATGCTTGAATCCTGGGCCGCACTTTGGAGTACACTGGAAATAAAACGAATACTCTTTATAATGACAGTAGAAAGACAAAAATTTGAGGAAACTCTTCCTGGAAGTAAACGTGCATTTAGATATACAATAAACATATACACTAAATTCTGGGCAAAATCTCTCAGATATGAAATTCCTTAAAAGTTTTTGAGCAGAAACACTTTTCCCTTTTCCCTAAGGTCTTTAAGAGCTAAATTCATTCAATGTTTGCTTTTCTTGGTTAACTTATTTTCTTCATTTACTAGAACTATGTTTATTCCTCTATTCTTCCCCATCCTTGGCTCATTCAGCTGTGTAAAGAGTCTGCTTATTTTGACAATGTGGAATTCTTGATTTCTACTTGTTGGGTGTAGTCTTATAAAAAGAATTTTTACATTATTAGTAAACCACAAGAACTTATCTCTGTCAAGCAAGCTGGGGGTTCATTTAGCCAAGCTAAGAACACATGGTCACAAGGGAAGGTTTATTACACAGAAAATTTCTGGACCTTTCCTTGCCAGTTACAAACATAATACATTTGACTGTTATTTAAAATTGTGTCTGTCCAGGGGTGGGCATTGTGGGTTAAGGAGCGGCTTGGGACACCCGAATCCCATCTGGGAATGCCTGGTCTGAGTCAAAGCTATTCAATGCTTCCGATTCAGCTGCCTGCTACTGCGCCTGGGAGGCAGCGGATGATGGTCAGATACTTGGATTCCTACCATACAGGTATAAGGACTGGATGGAAGCCCTCTGTCATCCCCTCTCTCTTTGTCACTCTGCTATTTAAATAAATAAATAAATAAATAAAACCTTAAAAAAGATTCGCTCCCCTTTGAAAAAAAAATTGTTTTTCATCCTAAGAAAAGATGCTTCTTCCCCTGTCACAGATCTGATTATTCACTGTATCTCCACGTGCTTCTAGAAGTCATCTATTGAACGTGAAGGTTGGCTAAAGTCCTCCGGCTTTCTCCTGTGAATGTCTGCACCCTGCCTTAAAATTTGTATTTCCCTTAAGTCAAATGAGAGTTTTACCAACAACATTTGGGAACACTGCATCTGTATTTTTTATTTAAAAAATTTTCCAGATCGCCTACAGGAACCACACCAGACTGGGGAGATCTAAAAACAACTAGATAGTCTCGACCCTGAAGGACCCCATCATCTATTTTAGGAGGCAGACATCTGAGTACAAAGTTCCTGTTAAGTACCATAACAGTGGACATGGAATGTGTCGGTTCTTGTATACCTAATCGCCACTGACTTGTTTTACAACTTTTTTTTTATTTACAAATCTTATCTCTGTCAGACCATGAGCTCCTTAAAATTATTTAATTTCTGTTTCATCTTTGTACACACACACACACACACACACACATGCTCTGGGACCCCAGAATCTACCTGAGGACTTTGGGTAAGTGCCCAATAAATATATGTTGTACTTTATTCAGAAAGATGGTTTTGATATACCAATAGTTAAGTCAATATGTACTAGTTGTGGGATGATGATGTCTTAGTGGACATTGTACATACTTGAGTGGGTTTGTTAGAGGGTAATTCTTGAGTTTGATAAATGTCATAAAAATATTAACATCTTTTTCAGGTGGAATCAAAGGTCCCATGGCAAACTCTTCGCAGTGAATGTAGGAACAGAATACATATCCTCCAACATAGAGTAAGTTTCATCAGGATGTATTTTGAAGAAGAATAACATGAACTTATTTCCAATATGGCTCCAAAAAAGAGGCTTCATAGGGAGTTAAGATGAAGAGAGAAATTTCCAATACTTTTCACTGTTGAACCAATATCCTCACATCTTGCTATCTCACTGTATCCATATATTCAATCACTACATCTTATTAATCCAACTCCTCAATCTCCTTAACATCTATTGATTTCCCTCCATCTCTACTGCCACTAACCTTACTTCAAACAAATAAACATTTCCCAAAGGAAGCTTTGCATTGGCTTTTTAATAGGTCTTATGTTTCTTGGTCTTGCAGGGATCCAGTCCACCCTTTAAACTTTAGCCAGAAGGATCTTCCTAAAGCCAAAATCCAATTACATTGTTTTCTGAATTAACAAAAGGGCTCACTATGGCCTTCAAGATAAATATTTAAGCAATCTGTAGGTATGCTAACTACAAAATGATAATAAGGCTCTATTTACATCTTCAGTTTCATTTCTCTATATCCAACCCTACTAAAGAATTCCTAGTATTTTCAATGCAAATCCAATGTCAGGTACAAGCTAACACTGTTGCTACTATTCCTACAGCCACAAGGACTATTACTTTTAGTACCACTAATAGCAGCTATCATTTAATAGACACTATATATTGAATACTGTGCTAAGTGCTATAATTTACATAGTCCTTACAAAACTCCTATGAGGTAGCAAATATTCTGTTTTTATTTGTTTTTAAATTTTTACTTATTTATTTGAAAGGCAAAAGAGAGAGATACAGACAGAAAGATCCCATCTGTTGATTCACTTCCCAAATGCCCACAGGCATCATAGCTGGGCCAGTCTGAAGCCAGGAGCTGAAAAAACAATCCAGGTATCCCATGTGGGTGGCAGGGAACCAGGTATTTCAGTCATTCCCTATTGCCTGCCAGGGTGAAGGCTGGGATTAGGAGTACAGCCGAGACCCAAACCCTGGCACTCCAATGCAGGATGCAAGAGTCTCTAGAAGTATCTTAACTGCTGCATCAAGCAGCCCTATTATGTTTTTAAAATGAGGGAATAGATTAAATGATGGGACATTAGAATATCAACTGTTATGAAGTGTCCCTTGGATATTAGGTGCTACTCTCTACTTTGTATATATTATGAAATTTAATCCTCACAACAACCTTATTGCTTCTCATTTCAAGAAACCAATACATGAAATAATTTCTATAGGATGAGTAAAGCCCCAATCTGTTTCCTGAGCTTGCTCTGCTTAGGTTCAGTTCATTTCCATCTCTTGAACTTGATTCATTTGTGCTAGTCCTCTTGACTAGCACACTGAGCCTCCATGGTCCAAGCAAAAGGCAGAGGGTTTCTGACACCCTGGTAATGCTTATTATTATCATTAATAACAATTACACTTCTACCTGTACTGGATTTCACAATTCACAAATGCTTTCAAATACATTATTAAACAAGTTTTTAAAAGTTATTACAGATGAGAAAAGCTTCAGTAACTTAAAGATAAAAGCAAATGGCAAAGCTAGAATTAAATGAATCCTAGGCCTTGTGACTCAAATTTTAGGGTCTATTAATTATCTATTCCTCCATTATTACTGTATTCCAAGAATTCTCTTAGTACTGGCAGAAAAAGAATTATAAGAATATATAACAAGTATTAATTAATTATAGGAAAAAGTAAATAGAGATGAAATTCAAGAGGAGGGAAGGCTACTTCATACTAGAGATAGGCAGAAATGTACAGGCCATATATGGAGCTCAGTTACTGTATTTTCAGGGTTTAATGAGTTTTTTAACTTTGGAACATTCATTTAAAAAGCACTGTGCCATTCCTTTTGCCCCATTTACATTTAAAAATCATATATATGAATATTAAAGGTAGAAACATCTGTCTCTTGCTTATTCTAATATATTTTTCCAGTAGCAAGAAACTTTTGCTATTATTTTAAGAATATGGTTATACCTAGCAGTCTTTCCTAAGAGTATATGCCAAGTTCTGCTTACAATTAGGGGAGGCAGATATTGCAAAGACAGACAATTCATTGATCTGTGTCTGAAAAGTCCCTGGGAAAAACAAAACAAAACAAATAATAAGATAATAAGAAGCATAAGAAAAGAAAATAGCACTAGTGTTTAATTAGTGTCAGGCAGTGTTCTTTATCCTTTGCATGTAATAATCTATCTAATGCTCACAAAAACTATTATCATATCCATTTTGCTGATGAGCAAACTGTAACACTGAGAACTACAGATAAATCCAGGTAGCACTTTAAAATGTACAAAGACCCAAACCCTTTGTAGGATAATGTATAAAGGTAATCATAGTATATCATCTTCTATTTGGACAAGAAAACATTTTAGAAAATTATATCACTGATCCACTAAATAAGCCAAGGGTATTCTATGCTGGAGCAGTAGAGGTCAAGAAACAATCAACTGGGTTCTCAAAATAGTAAATGACTGAAAATGATGGTAGTTCCTCGTTATTCATGATTTTATTTTCTGCAGTTTCAGTTACCCACAGTCAACCAAGGCGGAACATGCTAAATAGGAAGTTCCAAAAATAAATAATTCACCACTTTGATATTACACACCATTCTGAGTAGTGTGAGAGATTTCTGATCCATTCTGCACAGGAGGTGAATCATCCCTTTGTTCAGTGCATCTATACTGTATATGCTACTTATCCATTAGTCACCTAGTGGCTACTGTGGCTATTGGATTGACTTGTAAGGGTAGAACAGTGCTTCTGTTCAGTAATTCTTATTTCTTATTTTACTTAATAATGGTCCCACAGTGCAAGAGTAGCCATGCTGGTAATCTGGAAGCTGTAAAGCATTTTCTGGAAGTGAAAAGGTGAAAGTACTCACCTTCATAATGAAAGAAAAAAATCATATACTGAGGTCCCTAGAACCTACGGTATCCGTAAAACAACAAAGAAGCAAAAAGGAAATTCCTGCTAGTTTTGCTGTCACAACTTAAAGTGCAAAAGACATGGCCACATGTGTGATAAGTTCTTAGTTAACACGGCATAGGCACAACACCTGTGGATGCAAGACATGAACAGAAAACATGTTCTGACTACAAGATGCTGCGCCAGAAAGTATTGAGCCTATATGAAGACTTCAGCAAGGGATTTCCAGAAATTAGTGACATCAGGCTTTTTATTGCAAGTAAGGGATGGTTACACAGATTTGGGAAGAGGTCTAGACTGAAAAATATAACAATTAGTAGAGATTGTTTGCTGAAGAAGCAACTGCTACGTTTCTAGCAAAGTTGAATAAGTTGATTAAGAAGAGAAACCATCCAAAGCAAATCTGTAA